TCCCCCCCCTCAGCCGTAGGGCTTCAACGGGCTGTGGAGGAGACGGGGCCGTCACGCCCGGGGGGAAGAACCGGCGTGCCGAGCTCTCACCGCCCCGATCCGAGCTCCACCACCCCGGCTAGACCCGTCCGGATGTCTTGAAGCAACGCAAAAGGGAAGGACGGGGGCAGAAAGATAAATCTCCTGCCGGACTACCCCACCACGCTGATGGATTTCACAAGGATTTGATCTTTTGCAGCAAAAGCCACATTTTTTAGGTGCTGTCAGTGTCTTTTCATGGCTGGCACCGTCCAAATGAGCTGCTGAGAGTCTCCAACCCTGCAGCGCCGACTGCTCCAGACCGATGTGAGAGCTAGAGCGGCGTTGGCTGCTGTACCGACCTCCTGCTCAAACCCTTCCGCGCTCAGCTAGCCACCGGCATCGTCACAAGCCTTTCTCCACCCAGCTCAGCCCGGTGGCACCCCTCAGTCCCCAGCGTTGCCATACCTGTGCGTCTTCTCGTGGGCTTTGCACGCAGCCGGGTCGGAGAAGGCTTTGTTACACTCCCTGCAGGAGAAGGGTTTCTCGCCGGTGTGGATACGGATGTGCCGCTTGAAATTACCGGTGTGGGTGAACTCCTTCCCGCAGTCCTAGGGATGGAGAGAGACAGGCGCAGGCGCAGCTGGTGACGCCCAGTGTCCCCGAGGGACCAGAGACCCCGCTCGGGGCCGCGGCCGGCCTCACCTCGCACTTGTGCGTGACGGAGCCGTAGGCTTTCGACTCGGTCCTGTCGCTGTAAGTACTCGAACGCAGCAGACGGGTTTCACCCGAGTTCTCCTGCCCGGAGTCGGTGCTTCCCGATTCGTTATCTTCAGCGTTTTCTCCGTTTTCTAACCGGGGCTGCTCTTCCTCGGGGATTTTAGCCTCCTCTTCATCCTCTGCTGTCATCTCCCCCTCTTCCTCCTTCCCTTCCAGCTCCATCTCTGCAGGCATTTAGAAAACGGGGACGCTAGGGATCGGGAGCAGCATCAGAGACACAAAACCCACCTGTATTTCCTAACTCTAAGCTCGGGTTTAAGGTGATAGGGATTAGACCTGCCCTACTGTACTGAGGGAAATCCTGGTACTCCATCGTACCACACAGCTGCCGAGACCTCTGCCTGGAGTCAGTTTGGATTTGCAGGTTATTAGGCCTAAAATCTAAAAGCCTGCACGGACAGAGCAGCATTTCCCAACCTCTCCTTGCTCTGCCCCATGGACAACCGCTCCTGTGGGCTTTGCGACTCGCAGGAGACGGTGTTTGCACAACAAAACTCACACTAACAAAATTAATTGCATGGAAAACAAGGGTTCAATCTTTGCCCAGCTTTGCTTCAGCCCTGCTGAAGGGAATGGGCAGACAGCAAAGTCCCCGCCACCCTCGCTCACAAACACACCTCCCGTTTCGGTGCCCAGAGAGATGTTGCCCTTCGCCACGGGGCTGCTGCTGCTGACCACGCTCTCTGCCGGCTGCGGGTGGCTAGGAAATTCGGCGTTGGGGCCCTCTTGGATGGCAACATCTGCCCCTACAAGCAACAGAGAGTCTCGGGTGCTCTCGAGAAGACATCAGGCTCCACGCAGCAGAGCCTGGCAGCAGGACAGGGTGCGTTGGGGGGAGTGACAGGGGGATTTCGGGTGTCATCCCTTGGTGGCTCACCTTCTTGGCCACCCAGCTGCTCCGTCTGTGCCTCGGGCTGTGCTGTTGTGGCCACAGGCGTCTCTTCCTTCCCCTCGGGGTCAGGAGGAGCTGGTTTTATTCTGTCAAGATCATCCAGTGCTTCTGCAGTCGACCTCTTGTCCTTGATAGTCGCCTTGTCG